ACATCTACGTATTTATGAATTGATAATATTTGCATCAAGGATCAGTAGACAAATTCGGGGTGGAAATCAGTTCAACCGGAGCACTTTACCTATATATTCATCTTCATCTTGTTGTTACTTTTGGGTCTTTTATTTAATAATCTTTTACCAATACCTTCTTCATTTTATTGTTAATTAGATAATTAGGATTATAAATCAATTCTCCCCCATTTTAATCACATAATTACAGTCATTTAATTAAATTATTCCCCGTGGATACGATTCTTGCTCACACTACTACATATTTTTAAGTAAGGTTAATTTGGGTGCCTACGACAGCACGACCAGGACCTGATCAGTTTCAACCTGTTGGATGGAACAATCCCAGTCACATTGCAAAATCTGTCGAGACTGCGTTTTATGTACGTATCACTCTTTGCATAAGCCTTCACTATTTTTCCTAGTTTCTCTCATTTTATATGCTTTTTTTACTATTTTCCTTTCTTATTTTGAAATAATTTTTGTTTTATTAACAGTTGCAACTTGTGTGTTGCTTGCAGGCTTTCACCTGATTTCTCTTTCCTTTCTTTTCTTTTCTTTCTTTTTTTTTCTTTGTGCAGAAGTTTGCTTGCTAGTCATTCGAATTCGGCAGACAACTCGTGAGTTCTTTCTTCCAAATCCCTGTTGAGTTTTTTTTTTTCCTTCTTATTTGAGGTTATTACAGAACACACACTTTGAGATAAGTCTAATTACTACATTACAAATTGCATCAACAACTAGAGGGGTTTTAGTTGCATTTGTTCACTTCACCATGCAAAAAAGTTCTAACACGTTCATATTCGACAGAATCGATTGGTGCCTGAGGCATAATCTTCCTTGTCCCAGTAGAGCCAACCATAAGATCACATTCTCACATTAAAGTAACTCCCCATTTTTTATTTTTTCCTTCACATTGCATTCTTTCGAAAGAAACAAAAATAAAAAAATGTCCTAATCATGTAAAAGCTCACTCGCAGGGCACTCGTTCTTTGTAAATTGCGGTGGAGGAAGAACGAGATTCGAGGGGAACGAATATGACGAGAATCTTAGCAATCTTGGCCCATCACATTTCGAGTGGAACGATAGGTGGGCCTATAGCAGCACAGGCACATATACAGGGGAAGACACTGCACTGTACAGAGTTGGAAGTGACTCGTTAATGATAGATGCAAATACCAATCTTTACCAAACGGCCCGTCTTGCCGCATCATCGATAAAATATTACGGGCTTTGCATGCAACAGGGTAGCTATAGAGTGTGTCTCTATTTTGTCGAAATAATGTATTTTGATAACGCGACTTATAGAAATCTCGGGATGAGAGTATTCGATGTCGCCATCCAAGTAAGAGTTCTCAAGAAAATTCTGAAGTTTTTTTATTATCCACCTTCACAGGAGCACCACTAAAGCTGAAGTTTTATTTTTATTTTTTTCCTGAATATAAAATTTTTATAGTTAGGTAGAGCAATTTATTGCAATATTGACATTTATGAATGTACGCGGGTTTTTTCTTGAGCAGGGTCATGTAGTTTGCCAGACTTTGATATCGCCAGGGAGGGCTAATGGTGTTAGGAGAGGGATATATCGGGAATTTTACGTTGATGTAAATGAGAGCACTTCAGAGATCCATTTGTAGTGGACTGGACAGGGAACAACGGCTATACCCATCAGAGGTATATATGGGCCGTTGATATCCGCAATAGCCGTGACACCAAGTGAGTGGTGTTTCTATGTTTTTTTTTCTTGTTCTGAACTCTACAATTTCCTTTATGTTATATTTTTTTCTCTTATTTTCCTTGGTAGATTATGATGTCAGCACGGGCTCGGGAGAAATATTATCTGCCAGAGCTATTACTGGGATCGTGATCTCGTCGTGTGTGGTTGTGTTTTTGGTTTTGTTTGTACTCTGGAAGAAAGGATACTTGGGAGGAAAAGAATCCGAAGATAATGGTAAGTACTTGGCCAAAAAAAAAAACAAAAGAAAGAAAGAAAGAGTTGTAAAGGATTATGACTAAACTACCAAACTATGTTTGTGTTCTCTTGATCATACAGAACTTTGAGGACTTGATCTACAAACGGGTTATTTCAGTCTAAAACAGATCAAAACTTCGAGGGTGGATTTGGACACGTTTACAAGGTAAAAGAAGAACAAACAATTTCACAAAGTTGTTCTTTCTAGTACTCGAGCAGCATTTGCCCCTTTTTTTAACATTTTCCTTTTTGTTCCTGCTATGGGGTGTTTTATACGATGGTACAGTGATTGCAGTTAAGCAGCTCTCGTCTAAATCGAAACAAGGAAATCAAGAATTTGTTAACGAGATAGGCATGATATCCGCTTTGCAACATCCAAACCTCGTAAAGCTTTTCAGCTGTTGCAACATCCAAACCTCATAAACATCCAAACCAGTTGCTTCTAATATACGAGTACTTGGAGATTAACTCTCTCGCGAGCACTTTTTGGTGAAAATATTTATATCTCCTCTCATATTTGTTCATGATGAAAATCATTTTTTTTTATAAGTGTTCTTTGTCGTTTAGGTCGTGAAGAGCAAAGAGTAAACCTCAACTGGTCCACGAGAAAGAAGATATGTATCAGGAGAGCAAAAGGTCTTGCGTATCTGCATGAAGAATCGAGGTTGATAATCGTGCATAGAGATATAAAGGCGACTAATGTTCTTTTGGATAGAGATCTAACTGCTAAGATATCCGACTTTGGTTTAGCTAAGCTCGATGAAGAAAACACTCACATTAGCACACAAATTGTTGGTACTATATAAGTCCCTCTGGTTTTCTTTTCCAAAAAATCCCACTTCACGAAAGTTTTTTCTTTTCGCTCCCGAATACGCAATGAGAGGCTATTTAATAGACAAAGCAAATGTATACAGCTATGGAATCGTGTTACTAGAAATCGTTAGCGGTAAAAGTAACACTAGTTACCAGCCAAAAGAAGAGTTTGTATATCTACTCGATGGGGTAAAACTTCTTCTTGTTTAGTCGTTTTTTTCGCAGATTGTTCACAAAAATGCCTCGATTTGCTCATGCACAGGGCTTTGGCGGGCGCCCTGCAATCGATCGCCGCCACCACTGTACGATGAGGAGAACGCCAAGGACACCTTGTCAGAAGTGAACCCTTTCGGTGTCCGCGTGGATCGACTTGAAGACGAGGGCTTCAGCGGTTGTTGGGAGGCAGCATTTTGGGTGGGCGTCCCGGAATTCTCATGCGGGCTGGATGCAGCCGACTTCCTGACTGGTTGGCAGTCGTCGATTCTGTTCTTGAATACAAAAAAGTGTCGGACGAGCGTAAGGTGACCTCTTCGTAAAGCAACTGCGAGGCTGGGCGGTGGCTTGGTGGCAGTAGTTGAAGAATTTGCGACATCGTCAGGGCAAGCCAAATATCGTAGCGTGGGCTGCATCCGTAAGCATCTCAAACTAGAATTCTTGCCATTTAATTATTTGTGTATGATGTATCAGAAACGTCAAAACTTGAGGCAAGGTTCGCGCTCGGTTGATGAATACACGGAGGAGTTTTATAGACTCCTCAGGCTCAGTACATTGCACATATTAGGCTTCCTATCGCCGAGCATAAGGAATTGCCATTATGTCACAAATGCTATAAACACTGCATGTTATTCTTTTCGAAGAAGTTACAAAATTACGATTACTTGCTCGTTTTACTCGTTATATAATCGTTTTCTTTTTCCCGTTTGTTTTATGCATGCACGAAGGCTTACGTTCTACAAGTGCAAGGGAACCTTCTAGACCTCGTGGACCCCACGCTCGGCTCGGATTTCTCAAAAGAAAAGGCGCTGAAAATGCTAAACCTATCGCTCTTTGCGCGAATCCTTCACCGAATTTGAGGCCCACAATGTCGTCGGTTGTGAGCATGCTCGAAGGTAAAGCAAAGGTGCAAGCGCTCCTCGTGAAGCGTGGGCCCGCAGGCAAAGATGTTCAGTTCAAAGCTTTCGAGGTGCTCTCACAAGATAGCCAAACGCAAGTCTCGAAGATTTCTCATGATTGTCGAGAGCAAAGGGGTGTTTCGATGGATGGTCTGTGGGTCGACTTGTTGGTTTAGCTTGGGAGCAAAGATGAGAGTGGGGACCACAAGTCGGCTCCTGCCGGACCTTTACGACGTGAATATGGATTGAGTTTTTTTTTCTATTTAAATTTATGGTAGATGGAAATATTTTGGTTTTTAGATGTGTATTTTTTGGTTTTTTGCTATAAGATGTAATGATTTTTTTTTTATGGTAAATGGAAATGTTGGTTTTTAGATGGGTATTTTTTTGTTTTTTTTGCTAAAGGTGGAGAGGAACAAGACCTTGATTAGTTGAATAGTGTTATATGTCTTCCAAAAGTTAATGTATTTTGTTTGAAGATAATAACTGTTAATAGAACTATAGATGTTTTTCTCTTTGGCTGGGTATGATTTGTAATCCTTGGTGCCTATTGTATTTGTTCTCACTTAAGGTGGGGACAGACTTTGTACTATTTGGTTAGTTAGTTGAACGAAGTTTTGTTAGTCTTTAATTGCTACTGCTGGCTTTTCTTCTCAACTTGGCTGCTGTATTTGCAGTTGGGCTGCACTGTTCGGTTAAGCAAAAATGCTTCCCAGAACAAACGGACACTTTTAGGATAGAAGAAGAAGATTTTGAACAACTCAATGTATTGAGTATTCAAATTTTCTGTGTGTGTGCTTACAAAACAAAAAACTGCATCCCTGTTTATAAGGACTAAAAAGCAACTATCCTAGTGACTTTCCTAGAAATTACTTAAGTTGAAAAGTCATGAAAAATCAGCCTACAATGGCTGCCATGAAAGTGCTTTACAGCTGCAAGGAAGTTGCAGCTGCACTAACAAGAAAACTGCCAGAAAAAACAACAGATTATATCTTACAATTCTTCCCCTAATCCTGCTGTTCTTGCTTGTTTCTCACCATTCCAATCTTGGTCCTTAGCTCCATAAACCGAAGACGGCCGAGTGGCTTGGTAAGGATGTATTCGAGCTGCCGTCTGGATTCTAAAACAATTTGTCCTTCATCGATACAATCACGGATGAAGTGAAGACGGGTATCGATGTGCTTGCTCCGGTCACGGAGGACTGGATTTTTTGCAAGGGCAATGGCGGGCTGGTTGTCCACCAAGAGCTGGTGGACGAGCTTCCTCGCCGGTCAGCTCTCCCAGCAACCGACGCAGCCAGACCGCCTGGCACGCCGCTGTGGCTGCCGCTACGTACTCCGCCTCGCACGTAGACAACGCCACAATCTTCTGTTTCAGCGACTGCCATGAGATTGGGGCCGATCCAAGGAAGACGAGCACACCAGAGGTGCTCTTCCGCCCATCAATGTTGCCTGCCATCTCTGCATCGCTAAAAACCGTGAGTCGCAGCCCACTTTAGCCGCCGGTCTTGGGAAAAAAATGCCCTGGTCCACTGTCCCCTTGACATAGCGCAACAGTCATTTTACTGCAGCCCAATGATCCTCTCGAGGATCCTCCATGAAGCGACTGACATAGCCCACGGCGAATGCGATATCTGGCCTCGTGTGGACTAGGTAGCGCAGCCCGCCGACGATACTCCGGTAGAGTGTTGCATTCACCTTCTCCGCAGTGCTGGCTTTCGTCAACTTCAGCCGCTCCTCCATCAGAGTCATGCATGACTTGCAGTCAGCCATGCCGCTCCTCTTCAACAACTTCCCCGCATATGCACGCTGACAAAGAGTGATGGAGTCTCTCCCCTGCTTAACCTCCATGCCGAGGTAGTAGGAGAGCTGCCCGAGATCGCTCATGCGGAAACGAGCTGCCATCTCACGCTTGAAGCCATTGATGTCCCATTCTCTTGCCTCGGTGATGATCAAGTCTTCCACATACACGCCGACGACGAGCTCCCATTCCCTCGTCGTCGCGTGTAGAGCGCGTGTTCTGTCGCGCAGCGCGTAAACCCAAGCGTACCCAGGGTGGCATCGAGCTTGGAGTTCCACGCTCATGGGCTTGTCAGAGCCCATAGAGTGCCTTCTGCAGCCGCAACACCTTGTGCTCCTCTCCCTTGACGGCGAAACCCGGGGCTTGCTTGACGTACATAGTCTCTGCTAGCTCCCCGTTAAGAAAGGCCAATTTCACGTCTAGGTGATGAATGCGCCAGTCCTTCGCTGCCGCCATGGCCAATAGTAGGCGAATTGACTCCATGCGCGCCACTAGTGCAAAAACTTCTTCAAAGTCGATGCCCTCACGCTGGACGAAACCGCGAACAACGAGGCGTGCCTTGTGCTTGACTATGGCGCCACTCTCATCCCGTTTGACCTTGTAGACCCATTTGAGCCTGATTGGATGGCAGGCTGGAGGTGGATCGACGAGCTCCCACGTCTCATTTTCCTCGATCGCCTTCATCTTCTCTAGCATAGCTCGTCTCCAACTGACATCGCGCTCGGCCTGCGCGAAAGTCGATGGCTCCTCTGCACTGACGAAGAGCAGCTCCTGATCGTCGAGTAATCGGCTTGCCAAGCCTGGTACAACCGAGTAGCCAACGAGGTTGTCCATCTTGCGAAACCTCATCTCTTCACCATCGTGGAAGGCATCCACATACTCATCGATGTCGCTTGGAGGAGAGGTGAACTCAACTGTTGTCGTTGGAGGTGACCCTGTCCTGCCGCAGCAGGGGACTGTGGTGGGGGCGTGTGCACAGCCGCTGGTGGAGACTCTTCGCCCGTGCCCATAGATGGACTTTGCGGCTCAACCGACGCAATAACAGTTGCTGGACTTGGCGCGTCCGCAGCTAGCTCCTCCTCCGTGGATCACCAAATGCTCGATGACAAACGTACTGCCGATTCCACGGGCTTCCCCCGTGCCAGGATTCTCCCAATCCCAGGCCGCCATTTCGTCGAACACCACATCCCGCGGACCATCACCTTGCCTCCACGTGGATCGTACAGCCGATAGGCCTTGCTCACCTCCTCGTAGCCTAGGAACACCATCGGTGTGCTCCTATCCTCAAGTTTGCCAATGCACCCGAACGTCCTCAAAAACGAGACGCCGGGCTGCCTGCCATGCCAAACTTAGAATGGTGTCATGGCCTTCAGGGCCTTCGTGGGCGCGCGGTTGAGGATGAACACCGTCGTGCTCACAGCCTCTCCCCAAAACTCCGCTGGCATGCCCTTTGCCTTCATCATGCTTCGAGCCCTGCCCACCACGGTCTGATTCTGCCTCTCAACTACGCCGTTTTGTTGTGGTGAGTAAGGCGCAGTATGATGGCGAACCACCCCCCTATCTGCACAGTACGCGGCAAATTCCGCAGATGTGAACTCACCACCGCGATTCGTTCTCAGTACGCGCAGCCGCTTCCCGGACTCTGCCTCAGACCGCGCCTGGAACCGCTTAATCGCCTCCGTCGTCTGATCCTTACTCGTTAGGAGATGCGACCACATGAAACGGCTACGGTCGTCCACGAGCAGCAGGAAGTAGCGTCTTCCGCCGTGCGTAGCCCGCGTGATCGGCCCGCAGAGGTCGCCGACGAATTCGAGGACGTCCGCCGCACGATACTTGGTCGTCTTTAGGAAACGCAGCTGCCTCTGCTTCCCTGCCAGGCAGCTGTCGCACAGCTCGCTTGTGTGCTCGATGTGTGGGAGCCCGCACACCATCTTCCTCAACCGACCGAGTGCGTCGAAGCTCAAATGGCCGAACCGAGCATGCCTTAGCCATGGATCTGTTGGAACCCACGAGGATCTCGATATGCACAAATCACAGACAAACATTAAA